GATCTTTACATAACCTGGGGAAGCAGAAGAGCATGAACTTTATGTCACAGCTGAGGAAACTGAAGAAACCCTTAAAAGATAAACAGGTGCCTTTCATTTCATTAGATAATAAGCACTTATAAGACCTCAAGGTCATTAGACTTAAAAGAAGAAAAATAAGTTTTGTCAGTCATTTGCTGCAATAGTAATCCCTCTAGAAATAAAAACATTTTGTTTTTCCTCCTAAAATTGTATAGAACTTCTTAAAGATCTAAATTTGGCAGGAGCAGCTAAATAGTCAATGGACAAGTTCTATTTTAATCCAAGTGGAAATCCATGAAAAAGGTGGAACAAAATGGAAAGGCAGCCAGCCAGCCGGGTTCTAGCCATGCCCTGGCGTTCTCTGACTTCTGGATGAACCTTGGGTGGGGTCCAAACACCGCCTCAGCCATCCCTCTCAGGTCATTGTGAAAGTCAAAGTGATATTGTGTATTGAAATTCTTGGGGACATGTAAACAATATAAAAAATATAATTGTAATTTTTAACAGGAGTGTTTTCTTCATCAGTAAGGAAATCTCTCTTTAGGGTTCTTTCTTTTTTTTTTGGCCTGTGCTTTTTCTTGCCCTGTGCCTGGTAATTGATATTTTTTCATGAAGTTCTAGTGAGAGAGAGTTTTTTAAGCTTATTTATCCCGATGAATCTATTAGCCTAAACCATTTCTCCTGAAATCATTATCATTACCTCAAGAGTAATGGAAATGTTACCTGTCCTTCTTTATCTGTTGCAAAATTTAGGGACAAGGAAGAAGACCGTATGTGTTTTCTTAAAATCAATGACCAGCACATTACTGTAAAACCTATTGATTAAAAACACAAAGTATAATGTTAGTCATTTAGTCTGTGAAGTGATGCAATAAGGGAAGAAATTTATCCTTTGACTTTTGCATTAACCTTTTATTGACTGCTTGCATACCCATAATTAACACACACTTTAGCTAAAGTGGTTAATTTTAGCATGGCGACCAATGTCCACTAATGTAGCTGCAATCTTGATCATCCAAATGTAAGTGCAGCCCTGGGGGAAATCAGTAGGCAGTGAGGCCCTGTATGAGTTACACTTTGGGGTGGAGGCTGGGGGGACCTCTGGATAATCTGCTAACAGACCAACCAGTGTGACATCTCTCAGTCACTTCCTGTTCTGTCACTAGGTTATTCAAGGAGAACAGTCCTAAGTAGTAAGCATTGGGTGGGGTGAAGGTGGGGCTTATAGAGTCCTTTGAATTGAAGTAATACACATGTGGAAAGGACGTGCTTCATGAAAATGATAGCATTTCCCACGTGGCTAACCCTAGAAGCATCCAAAAAATTGGGTTTCTCTTCAGAATAATAGTGAGGAGGATGAGGTGGAAAGGGAAAGCTATAACTTTCTTACTGCTTAGCTGGGCTCAGTTGGACTGGAGGATGACACTAAGTTGGAGAGTCTTTTCAATATTTTGCAGAAAGAGCCTCCAGCTGGCTATAAAACCTGATTTATTTCCTACAAAGGCATTCCTTGGCTTTTGAACTAACTCAAAATACAATTTGAACCAAAGACAAAGGCCACTGTTCTTATGCTCTCAGAATCAGGTAGTCTACACACACAGCACTGTGTTGGCAATTCACCAGACGCACAGCAGGGCTGTGGCCATGGGTGTTGTAAAAGATGAAAATAATGGGAAGGTAGGAAGCCTGGCCACATACCAGCTAGGAATCTTTGGGTTGCAAGTGACAGAAAAACCTCAGGCAGTAAGGCCTAATCTCACTACTCTAGCAGTATCATCTAGACCCCTGCTCCTTGGTGCATGGTAGAAACAGTGACTATATCTTGAAGAGGGAGATATGTTTATCTTATGCCAGTTATGACTCTGCCTGGCCTTATATGCAGAATCCAGACCACATGGCTAAGGGTGGGGCAGGAATGGGTTCTCCACAGGAAAGTTAGAATCCTGTTTAAAAAGGATGGAGGGATAAATACAAGACAATAAATACCTATACAGTCAGCCTTAGGCTGTTGTTGGCCTTCTGACAAAGCATCAAAAGGAGGATCATCTCCTTCAAGTGACTTCAGATCATGAAACTATGATAGTCCTGGGTGGGTAGCATATACAACACGATTACACTGGGCAAAGGAATGACCCACATCATGTGCAGAGTGGAGCTAGATGGCACAAGATTTCATCATGCTACTTAGAACAGCACACAATTTAAAACTTAAAAAAGTATTTACTTCTAACATTTTCCATTTAAAATTTTCAGACCATGTTTGGTTGTGGATAACTGAAGCCACAAAAAGCAAAACCACGAAATAAGGGGGTCTACTGTATTGTTGTCATCCTCATCATCATTATTATCATATCCACTTGACAGACAAGAAGCCAAGGCTCAGTGAAGTAAAGAAACTTGGCCCAGATGTCATGTCCTTCCAGGATCCCAGAGAACACACAACCTATCATTGATCTACTTTCCCGTGTCAGGACATTGAGATCTAAGAAGGCAGAACAAGTGATTTGAGCAAAAGAAATCAAAACCTAAAGAGGGTTATTCCTTCAAGTCATTCTAAAACCCTTTCTTTTCCTGTTCCATGGTCTTCCATGATTCTGAATCAAATAGCAAAATTGGAGTTGGGGGTGTCCTCCTTTCCCGTAAGTAAATAAATACATTGTCTCCAACAACAAGTCCTCTGCTGGACTATTTCACTGTCATTTGGAAATTGGCAGGGCACACCGGGCATTAGAGGAAGAACTTTAAAGACAGTTTTGAGATTGCCCTGAAGAAATCCAGCAAAAGATTCTTATTGCAGTCCAGATGGAAGCAATGAAGACATACAACTAGGATCTACAAGGGTGGAGGTAGCTCGCACCCCAGCTTTCCTTTGATGCAAAGCATGTGACTGACAACTGGGGAAGAGCTTTCCCAAAAACAAAACCAGTCACTTTGGGAAGCTTGTATAACAAGGCACAAGCAGACCACTGCTGCAGGTTTTAATGTTTTTCATACTTTGTCAAAGTGAGGAGGCAAAGCCATTTGACAGGTGAAAAAGCATCTCTATTGACTTTTTGCACACCTTATGATATTCTAGGTGGATCGACACTTATCATAGCCCTTTAATCTGCCAGGCAGGATAATGTGTGCACAGATAATTTATCCACTGTGAGATTGAAATGCTCAATTTGGAATAACTTTCCCTAGCCAGCAAATTGAGCATCACTCTACAATTCTGAGGCAGAGAGAAAGCACAATTTAAAAAGCTTTGCATAGTTCTTGTGTAATTAGTCGCAGCTTCTCTTGAATATTAATTTCCCCCTCATCTCTTTCAAGTGATTTAGAGACTGTCACAAGAACTATGGAGATGCACCCTGAGCGAGGCCAGCACTCCGTGTGGTCCCCAACACCTATTGTGAAGTCATCTGCAGAACTCGCCCTCTGTCCCCTCAGTGGATGCGTGCTTATCAGCGCAAACAGTTTAATATTTATGCTAAGAGGATTGTCAGAAGCAGCTTCTGTTGCTTTAATTCTTGTTTTAAATAAATAATGAGAACATTTAAACACATTACTCTTCTTGAGGCCCTGAGGTCAGCTAATCTTATTATTTATGAAGTGATGTGCTACATAATAGTACTTAGTGCATGTTAACAGACGCTATTATCAGGGCCTGATGCGGAGAGCTGAAGATATATTGGAATGTTATGTGTAATGTACGACGGATTGAGTGCAGAGGATGCCGGTATAGCAATTAACCACATGTGAAAATAGGTGTAAAGTTGAAGTATGTTTTCCCCTGGGGATCCTCTCACCATTAATAATTCCCCAGAGAAGGCAATGTCTTTTAGTTAGGAACCCTCTCCACCATCAGAGTGGGGCTAGGCTATCCCGTTCTTTGATCTCGTCATTCCTATGCAGTCAGAGGATAAAGTGTGGGTACGACCACTTTTTAATTGATGTAGAACAAGGTTCAGAAAAGGCCAAGGTAGGGGCAACTCTGTGACCTCTCCGAATGTGGTCATAGCATTGGGTTTGGGTAGACACACTTACGCACTTTGACTGCTGTGCGTTCTTTCTGAGAGAGTGAAGAAATTATTCATGCCTTATTGTAATTTGTTTCCTTTTCTTTGATTCTCATTTTTCAGATAAAACAACCTAAAGCCACTGAGCTTTCCCAGTCCGATTTTAAATAAACTGGACTCTGAGAGGTAGATCCCTGCTAAGGTGTGATGATGTTTTCCCAACTTTTTTCCTATGAGGCTATAATTTAGCTGTGTATGATAATTAATTTCTCTACCATTGATGAATAATCCATTTAATAAAAACCATGATTTAAGTGTTTTCCTTAGGGACTAACTCTTGCTAGCCTCTTAATTTAATTTTGTGGAAGTTTCCCCACCTATTCATCAGCGGAAATGATTATTAACCTCTATTTGCATATATCCTTATAAACCGGTCTCTCCTTGGAGTGCCTTTTCCTGAGCACAGCAAGCTGGGACACTTGTAAATCTCTAGGATCTCCAAAGTCAATCCCAGTCTGTAATATTGTTTAATCTATTCTTGAATGTTTTAATGCAGTAAATTCAATTTAATCTTTCCCAGTAATCTAGTAATACATCGAAATCCCACAAACATTTAAATCTGATAATGGCTTAATCACACACTTTAAATAACAGTTGAGATAATGAAAAAAATAATTCACCATTTTAAAGGCAGAGTAACTGAATTTCCCTGATGATTGGCTTTTTCTAAGTCACTTGAGATAATATAAACCTGGGAATCGAAAAGGAAAAAAAAGCCCAGCACGATAAGGAACAATTCTTCCTTCTTATAAACACCTGCTTTCTGCCTTGTGACTCACTCTTCCTGCCATCATCATGACCTTCAACAGAGCAGGCTGTTTGGAGAGCAGTTTTCAATATTGGTCTTTAAGTTTTTCATGAGCTCGGCTCTGCCAGACTTTTCCCCAGTGGATTAATTGCCTCTTCTTATGCTTCCAGGTGCCAGTCCCGAATTGCCCGATCTTTACCAGGGGCTCAGAAGCCACAGTGTCGACCCTACTGGGAGGATGATCCCTCGATGCCTCTGCCCTTCGATCTCACAGATATTATTTCAGAACTCAAAGATCAGCTTCTGGGAACAGAACCCTAGAAGGAGCACAAGTCTTCGGTGAAGATTGAAAGATATGTGACTCTTTTTTCTCCAACCTTGTGCAAAGGCAGTGTAGACTTCGCTTAGCCCTTAGATTGTACCTGAGTCCCAGTTCAAAACAGCTAGGAAATGGTGCCCTTGAGGATTAAAGTGTTGAAAATGACACAGTGTTACAATCTGATTTAGGAACTTTCCCCCGAAATAACTGTTAGCCACTCACATTAATTCATGGGAGCCTTCCCCAGGGGCCAAGCCTATGGTAAGCCTCACCTCCATCCCCCTCCATCAGCCTCCTCAGAGTCAGAGTGGACCCAGTAATGGGAGCAACAGCTTCGCGGCATCCTCCCAGCCCTCCCACCATGTCCTCTTGTTCCTGTGGCATCCAATGTGGTGTCCCCAGCTAGCTGTGGCTGTTCTAATTTAAACCCAGTTTTAATTTTAATTAAAGTTTAATTAAAATTTCCTTGTATGACCTGATCACATTCAGGTATTTAACAGCCACATGTGGCCAGTGACTGCTCCTATGGACAGCACAGCTGTGGCACGTCTGTCCCTTTAGGAAGCAGGCTACAGTTGGATGAGAAGTCTATAAAAAGCCAGAGAGCAGACATTCCCTATTCCAATTCCCTGGAGCTCTTATTCCCATAAGAGCAGTTAGAGGGCAGCGACTCTCTGATGAGTAGCTGCCTTCCCGTCTCCAAGACAGAGCTCAGTAAAATCCTGCCTTGTGCCGGGGAACAGGGAGGTGCTAACAAAACCCAGCTGACAGCCTCTCTTCAAGGAGTGTCCCTGATCTAGTGACCTGCACAGAGACCTGGCCTTACTTATACTGCTTCATGCTTACCCAGCATAAGACAATTTTTTCTATAATTGCCGTCTTCTTAGATAATGACAGGTGACAGTGAGGTTTGAAGAACCCCAGTGCTCCATCCCAATGACATTGGAACCAGAAAGACCATGCAGAGTGGAGACTAAACCAGGGATTCAGTTTTAGAGTGCCTGGACTGGGATGCCCAGGAACTGTGTGATCTTAGCAGGTCACTGTGCCTCAGTTTCCCTTAGTATGTGAAAGAACCACTCGCTTTGATGAAGATTAAGTAATCTATCTGCATACTTAGAATACTTTCTGGCACAGCATTCAATGCCCAGCAGATCTGGCATTGTCGTGCCAGCAGTGAGCTGCAAGTGGGCACCTTCCTCGTCCTCTACCCCTCTCCTGGTTTTGTCTCATGGTATCATTAACACAACTCTCACTGTCTACCTTGGCTCCTGCCATTTGGTGTCCCCAGACTGTGTGAGAACCACGAGCCCCTCTTCTCAGCCCATCACCTTCTCTTGTCACTGTTGAGAAGCTACGGGGTCTCTCACATGGAGACACACTTTAGGCACCCTCTTTCCATCCATCAGAATCTCACCAGCTACAGAAAAGTTGTGTTCTCAAAGCAGTCAGGTTTTTTATCATGCTGAGACTCGAATTTCTCAGACCTTAGATTCCTTCCTTCGTGTCCCCGAGCCTCGATTTCCTCAGTGAAAGAGAGGTGAAGTACTACCTCACAGGGTACGGATAGATTCAATAAAATAATGCAGGTAAGGGGTATGTGGCATGCAGAAGTCACAGGCTAGGCCTCCTACCCTGGGCTGTCCAGCCCCGTGCTCTGTTTCGCTCCCACAATGTCTGTTCTTTGTTATAGTTCATCAGATATCAATCTTTCCAGATTGGGAGATTTCACATCAGATTAAATACCTCTATTCACTTTAGAACTCAGAGCAGTCAGTGGCCCCAGACCTCCGTCCTAGCATGGCAACACATGAAACAGTGTCTTCTGGCGCAGAAGCAGGCTGTGGCCCTCAGTGGTTTGCGGTAGACCCCGTGGCTCTCTGTTACCATTTACTGTGGACCTGACCTGCATTACACGTCTGTGCCGGAGCTTTGCAGACCTTGCTTGCACCCCTGTAGGAGAAACGAGTAATGTTTAGTGCTCACCCCAATCTATGTGTACCCTTGCTGAACTGTACTTTGAACTGCCTGTACTAATGCCATGTGCATCATTAAACATTCGTGTACAATAAAGATACCAAGAATAACAAACCAAGCGAGCGAGATTCTGCACTTTTCTCCTTCTACATCATGGGATGGACCTGCTTTGCTGGTACAGATGGGGCCCAGGTGAGTGGAAGAAATTCTCAGGTGCAGTGAGGTGATGAACAATGGAATTGGATGAAACCGAAAGGCGAGGTCACATTTTTCAAAAGAAATGGTGGCTTTTTTCAGTGTATCTGAGAGTTACATGCTCCCCAGGAGGGGTTCATGTGGCTAGAAAGACAGAAGGCAAGAGACAGCAGAAACAACTGGCAGGGCCAGCTCCTGGGCTGCAGGCCACGGCAAGCCTGATTCCCCTAGTGAGCTGGGCAGGACTCTCCTGAGAACGTGGGCCCAGAGGTCCCGAACAGCTGTCGGGATGAGTGTGGAAGGGGAGGGCAAAGCCATCAGCCCCAGCCCCTACCTGCTTTTCTGCCAGGCTGCCCTGGTCTCGGGTCCCTCCTATCTTGAGAAAAGTGATCTGACAGCTCTCTTGTACCTAGGTACAACTGACCTTCCTTTTTCTGGACACCTTAGCACTGTAGTGACCCTTGGGGTTCAGGGACAAATTTTTGCCTTCCAGGGGCTCCCAGGCTCCTGCAGGGCCAGGGATAGGTCATGATGGCAGTAGAAACTTAACACTATGGCAGGAGACAGGCTGTAAACCAGCAAATAAAGGACAAGATCATTCCAGACAGTCCTACTTGCCAGGCAGGAAGCCATCTGGCTGGAGGATAGAGGAATCAGTGCGTGCTCAGTATCTGAGGAAGGGTGGCAGGCCAGCCAACTGGGGAGTGGGGTGGCAGGGAAGAGCTTTCCAGAAGGAACCCTGGCACAGGATCCTGAGTCAGGGAAGTATACAAGGAAGGAAAAGAGCTCTGATGGTCCAGGCAAAGAAAGTAAGGAGAGGCAGCTGGAGAAAAGACTGGCACAGACAGTGCTTGAGTTTTCTTTCACCCACCCCAAGAAACAGCATTTCCACAGGGAGAGCAGGGAGTAACCTGAAGCGTATTTTTCAGCTTTTAAGCATTGCTCTGGCTGCTACATGGATTCCAGGGTTTCCTAAGGGGGCAGAGGACACAGTCCAGAGGAGCCCTTTTCCAGTCGGGGATTCCACACCCCACACTCCATCCTGGTAGGGCTGCTTAGGCTGCAAGGCCACGCAGTCACCTCCTGGTTGCTGAGTTCACGCTAAGCAACACCTACTTGCCCCAGCCACATCCACTGCTCGCTCTCATCAGCACCCTGCAGCCCGAGAAAGTTTTCTAGACAGAAGAGAGCAGGGTCATGGCATGGTTTGTGACACAATTTCAGTAATAAGCTTCTAAATCCATCACTAACTGAATCGAGGGATGCTGGAAATGAGATTCCATAGGCTCTGCTTAATGGATGCCCCACGCTAAGTAGGAGAGTGTGTTTCCAGGGCAGGTATTTTCAAATGCAACTTTTTTTTTTTTTTGCTCTAGTTAAGGCTGATTTTACCACTGGGCAAATTGCATACATTTGGATCTGTGCCATGCTAAATACTGTTTGTTTTGGAGATCTGTCAGAGGCAAGCACATGGAAGACAAGGGGATTCTGATTTGAAAAGGCAATTCTCATTCAAACAGATCCAGTTGGAGCAAAGCAGTGCGGATTAAAATGCGCTGAAGTGGTAATGCCGTTTATCCAGTTTGCCTTTGTTACTTTGTGATTAAATGGTATTTTTAATTAAGTTTCATTGGGAGCCATAGGTATCGCGGTGGTGAAATCAATTTGACAACCATAAAGGGGGCGGGAAGGCCCAGGCGTGCTGTAATGACTGCAGTGGTGGGGAAGCCTGCAGCTTTTAGGGGACAGGGTGGGGACAGCAGGAGAAGAGCCAGTCAATAATGACTTCCTGTGAGGCGACCAGGGCGGCCTGGGCTGCAGCTGCATTTGGGAAGCACGAGTCAGGGGTCGTCAGGGAAAGGAAGACACACTGATTCTCCCACTCGCCTGAGATACCCTTACATATTCTGGACCTCTAGGAAATGACCTGGGAGCCCATTTCTTGCTTCTGACTTATGAACGAGGAGAAGGCAAGAGTACCCCCCACCCCATGCCCCCCACCAGAACGCTTGATGCACCTCCACAGTCATCCTGTTGGCTTCCATTCTGTTTCCATTCACACTCACACAGAAGCAGGCTCCTCCTGATGTTTGGCCTAAATGATTCTGTAACAAAAACACGTCCCCGGTGCCCCTACCCCAGACTTTTTCTCAATATTCAGCATATTTCTCCAATCTGATTCCTAGGTGACAACAGAGGCTTCTCACTGCAGACCTCCTGGTTTAGTCCTGGTTCTCTGTGTGACTCTAGGCTACCACCCCTTCAAATCTCAGTGGTTTTTGTTTTGTTTTCTTTCTTTGTGTGTGTATGTGTGGGCTTGGACCCAGGGCCTTCACACTGAGCCCCCACCCTTTTTAAATTTTGAGGCAGGGTCTTGCTAAGTTGATCAAACTAGGCTCAAATTTGGAATCCTCCTGCCTCTCTGTAGAAAATTGTCCACAAAACCAGAGCAATGTAAGTCCCCTCTAAGAAAGTCACTATTTCTTCCTAGTCATATGAACTCTCACCTAAGGTAATTGTGGAGATTCAGTATGTTGATGTGCATATAGCTGCTTCTAGCAGTGCCTGGCAGATGTAACTCAGGTTCCTGGGATCAGAGCTGGAGCTTTGTGACTTGTGCAAATGGCTTAACCTCTCTGCTCCAGCCGTGATTGATACAATGAGAATAATAACACCTTCTTCGCTCATTGGATTGTTCTCTGCCCCATGATCATGCATGTGAAGTGATTCATGTTGTACCTGGTAATTAGTAACCACTAACCACTCAATATGTATAAATTATTGTGATCGGTGATATCTCATTCAAAATATTGGATAGTCACTACAAAAGAGACTGCAGATAGCTGTGGTTTAGAAAGAATATCATGTTACCAGCATGTATCATCCCATTTGCTTTTCACAGCTTCTGGCTTTTTCCTAAGCAGATGGCCTGGAACTTTTTATAAATAAGAGACTATGAAAAATGATTCCTCAGTACTCCCATTAGTACAGCAGGATTAGGTCACCCTTTGCTATTTTAGATTTGCTTAAAAAAATTCTTGCCATCACCTTCTAATGGATGATCTGTGTACAACAATTGTTTATTGACTCTGAATGTCTAAGTAGTAGGGTCAGTCTATTTCGAGGGGAGGGAAGCATTAATTAACTTCCAGCATTAGATTCAGTGATTCCTTTCCAATGATGCAGTTCATGACTTTGTTCACATCTACTTTTCATCAGTCCTGAAAGAATCAAGGTAAAATAGTCCCTGTGCATATGTGTGTCAGGCTAAATGGATCACAGCAGATACAGATCTGTTTGCCTGTCTGCACTTGCCTTTAGACAAAATTCATCAATTGTACAAAAGCCACCGGCCGAACACGGCCCCCATACAAATGAAGGGCTTGGAGCACCCAGCTTTTCCCTCTGTTTCTGACCTGTAAATGCAGTAGCTTCCTGCTGTGAGGTGGGAAGTATGTGCCTGGGACAGCACTGTACCCCCCAAATAGGGGCAGAAGGTCAAGGCCATTTAAAATCCTGTGTGTTCGGAGTAATTCTGACCCTTTTGGTTGGTGGTTGTGGCACAAAGTTCCTCTATATAGGCTTGCTTGTATTAAAGATCAAATGAAGACCACAGATGATCACCGCCTTCATGGTGCCAGTTTTGAAGGCACCCTGCTTGCCTTTCCTAGCTGCTGAGGCATAGACAAAGAAGGGTGTATATGCTGGAGAAGCTGCAGAAGGAAAACTTGCCCCCACCATGCCCTTTGCGACTTTACCCAAAAGAGACAGTCCTGGGAGGTGATGACACCCAAGTCTACGTCAGTCCATAGGAGAGGCAGTGCAGTGAATAATCACAACGGAAGTGGTTTGACTTTCATGGGTAATGGAAGGATTTCTGCATGCTTATCACTTCTGATGAGGCAAGGCAGGTCTGATCCAGGAGCAGCACATAGCTCACTCCTGAAGCCACAACAGGCAGCCACAGTGCCTCTGGTACAAGAATAGTCACAGTGAATTACATTAAGGTCTCCTCTACAGTTTTTTCAGATTCCATAAGCCCTGTGAAAAATGCCAAACCTGAGCAGGCATCTAGCGCTTTGTAAACCGACCTGGAGCCTCATGCAGGTGGAGGCTCACCATGTTCTCCTTTGCTTCTTTGCAAAACAACTGCCTCCCACTAAACAACCAGCTTCCCTTTCAAATGAGGGATTCAGTTTTTCACTTTGGAGCAAGCATAGTTAACCTACCAACCCCAGAGCCCCACAAGGGATGAATCAGTTTCTCAGAGCAGCAAAAGCTACCGCTGGAAACTCATCCAACACGGAACACTGGACCTCTGGTCACCCTCCTTCCCCCTGGCCCCCAACCCTTCAGACAGAGATTTCCACTTGATTACGCCTTGATTAGAGTCGGGAAGGAGGCATGCCAGGTATATAGGATTCCCATTGTCCTCCTGCCTCTGCTCCCAACCAGGGTCAGGCTGAGGGGGATCCCAGTGAACGCGAACAATCAAGCCCTGTTTACTATGGAAGTTTAGTTTTCTTTTCTCAAAATCAAAACAGAGTTTAGTAGGCAGCGTATTTAATACATGCTCCTTGATCAATGGAATGATCTGTCAGAAGCCATTAAAGCTCCCATTAGCTTGAATCCATTCAAAGCTAAACTATTGGATCATTTAAGGGCCGCAGTGATTGTTTTTAATATACTGTACATTGATTTCTCCCTGCGAGCAGCAACATAAGTTTGAAACTAACTGTGTATGACTAAGACTCCATTTGCTGTCTCCAGCCCTCGGTGAGAAGCATGGTTTCACTTGGAGCAGAAATGTCTGTGTATAGTTTTCAAAGGGATTCAGGCCTTGTTAGATTTCCCAAGGTTTAGACTGAGTTGGGTTGTTATGTTTTCTTTTTTTTCCCTGAGCTTTCTCCCATTTCTTTGTGC